GAGTGAAACTCAACCAGCGGAGGTACAATCCTTGAACAAGTGTCGGCGTGGAGATACCTTTGCTTAATGGAACACATTTAAACTCTTTCTAGAAATGATTTGGAGTCGTATGTCCTGCGTTTGCAAAGCAGCGTGATCTCAGAGCTGCTCACATCACCTGTTTCGAGTCTTCTGTTCCGCAACTTCAGGTTTTGTTTTTGAGCAATGCGTGCATCAGTTTGAGCTCTGTACAAGTAGAGCTGTAATGCAAATAAGCCAGAATCAGTGGTACCAAGAAGTGCAAGGGTGTGAAAAGCAGCCAGTAAGGTATTTCTGGAGAAATGTGAGATTACAAAAGCATTCATAAGCCATGAAGAACTTTTGTATCAGTTCTTCCCTTCTGAAAATCTGTTTATTTAACCGGGTGAGGATGCCTGCCCAGAAGCATGAAGGAAGTGCCTTGGGAGTTAATTTGCTGTATTTAGATGAAGTTCTTCTATCCGGCAGGAATAACTATTGAGAGTAACGTATAACTAAGGCTACTGTAGCAGGAAATGTAGTATTTCTTAGCATTAAAAAAATGCGACATCTTAATCAGCTATTTGTGGTGCTCAGTGAATCTCTTTTAATTTACCAAAGCTAACGGAATAATGTTCTTGTGTGTGATGATATTTCATTCCGAATGTTCTTTGTAAGAGGAATAAGAGGGAGTGAAACTGGCCCAAACTTTCCACTGTTCACAAGGCCAGTAAAACAAAGTGGCTTGTGAAAATGTCACGCAAGTAGGTACTACCCATGCGGGTGAAGAAAAAAACTCTCAACCTTTTTTTTTCCCTTTTACTATTGGGCTTTAAGTCCAGGGGTAGCTACTCAGACAGACTGGCTGCTCAGTGGCCTAAAGCAGCACCTGTTAGAGGTTGGCCGTGCTGAGGAAAAGCCCTCTGGGGACGACAAACTTCTCCCTTCCTGTTGCACTGAAACGCGTGCAGTTCTTCTGCTCCCGGTTTTCAATGCTGCCCTTTGCAGCTGCAGGGGCCAGCCAGAGCCAGGCAGGCGTCTTCGCTCAGCATCTGAACTGTGTGGCTGCTTCCATCAGCCACGGTGCCAGTGCAGTGCAGGCAGAGAAATGCACGGGAAACTTCAGCTCAGCCGGACTGACTTAAAACTGACACTATTCTGACAAAATAAGCTTTACGTTGCTTCACATTTTGAACCTGTTTAAACTGGTACAAAACAGAACCTCTGTCAACTGAGCAGCATTTATAATGCTTTCTAGTGTTTGAAAACTATACATATTTTTAAGATTTAGTACATACCTAGGTAGATATGCTGGCTGGAAAAGCTAAGACTCCTGTAGACCAAATCCTACAAACTAAGACTTTTGGCTTACAAATTCCTTTTCTGCATTTCCTTGTAAAATGTTTCTAGCTACAGTTTGAATAGAAAATGTGCTGATTTAGTTAAGAGGTTAAGATCTGATTTTGCAACTGTTCTTGTAAGTAAAAGGCCTCTTTGCCTACCTTTAAGCACACTGATTTAAATTGACAGGTTGAATTTTTCAGAGAGAAAACTCCTCAGCTGCAAAATCGGTTGTTTTTGTAAGGCTGAACACTCATAGCTGTGTTGCTATGAATGTTACTCCATTAACAGCTGGTTTCCCACCCTAAATTAAGGAGGGATTTTGCCCGTTGCCTTCCATGAGCTTCAGTCAAATATAAGGCAAGTGGGGGAACAACTCAGATCTCTTCTCCTCAAGTCGATTCATTAACCAGACAGATTAGTCAGATGAACTGTATTTCACAGAGGTTCCCACTCACTGGTCTCCTGATGCAGGACCAGTGACTATGAAGTGCATCACAGTTTGACAGCATTTAATAATCAAAATTAAAATCACAGTATGAATTTGTCTTTAGCTAACCACTTTAGGGAGACAAAACCAGACAACTGAGACTTCAGACAAGTGACGGTATATTAAGAAAATGGAATTAAAACAGATGGATTTTGCCTTGACGGTAAATGTTTCAATAATAAATTCTAAGTTTCGATAGTATCGATAAAGTCCAGTTTGAAGATAAAGAGTCATAGTTTTTTTCGGCAAAGAGTCGTCGGTTTTGATGGTAAAGCCAGGTTTGATGGTAAACAGGTTTGATGGCAAAGAGTCAGTTTTGATGGTAAAGCCAGATTCGATCGTAAGCAGGTTTGGTGGTAAAGCCACGTTCCATGGTAAACAGTCACGTTTGATGGTAAGCAACGAGGCTTGGAGGTAAAGAGTCAGTTTTGATGGCAAAGCCAACGTTCGATGGTAAACAGGTTTGATGGTAAAGAGTCATTCTTGATGGTAAACAGCCAGGTTCGATGGTAAACCATCAGGATTGATGGTAAAGACTCAGTTTTGATGGTAAGAAGTAGTGGGATTTGTTGGTAGGTTTAGTTCAGGTACTGAAGGATTCCATCAGTGAGCTTTGCATCTGAAAGACAGAAGAAAGCAGTGTCACTCCCTGTCATGACATTCAACGTCAAACCCTGTCTCAGTGGTTTGGTTTCTGAACGACAAGTCTCAAGCCTGCACGCAGCTCCGTCTGCTCTGTGACTACAGGATCCGACAGACTCGAGAAGGTGGCTTCCTCACATCCCAACCAACTGCATTTTGGATCTACGCTAAGGTGGGCGAACTGTACACAGTATTAGGACAAAGCTACCTCCTTTCATAGCAAGTGGTAGGCTTAGGTAAATTTAGGTGAGGTTTTGTCTAGACAGCATCCTTGTTTTACCAAGGTGTTCAGATCTGGTTCAAGCTCACCAGATCTTACGTACTAAGCCTTCAGAAGCCTGTAGAAACTTGCTGGAGAGAATTTGTAGGAATGTAGGAAGCAGCTGCTTTAAAGCTGCTCCGTCTCCCATCCCACCTCCATTTTCCTTCAATCACACATTATCACAAGCCCTTTCCATCCTTATTAATTTACTGGGGAGTCCTGGTGAAAAGGCACAACCTAACAATTCCTTCTCAGCTGTTGTCTGTCCCTAGCCTGTTTGAGAGGTTCCAGGCTCTTTAAAAACACACTGCTGCGGTGGCCTTTTTTTGAGAGAGATTCCGTTATCCAGAAATTCCTACTTGGGACCCATTTATTTAGTATTTCTAAAGACGGACGTTCCACAAGAGGAAGTTCCTTAACATCTATGGACTTGAGGAAATACTAAAATTCTGCAGACTTAAAAGACTGCTTTTCACAGCCCTCATATCCCACTTGTGTTGCAAGCAGTGGATCAAAGTGGGGTTCTATCACTGTGTTTATCGGTTAACATCTCTTATGCCTACACAGATAGCGCACTAATCGTAATGCCCCTGACCTGTGTGGTGGGGTGCAAGGCATTTAATTTCTTCCTATAAGACTTTAGATGCAACAAACATTAGCCGTCAGACTGAATGACAGTAAGTCTTGGTTTGTACACAAATCCTTACAGGGGCTAATTGTGGAATATGTGGAATTAAAAATACGTAATTGTTGCAACCTAATCAGGAACAGGCGCAGATGTGGTTCTGTCCTGGGTTCAGCAGGCTGGGCTTAAACCACGACAGGTTCTTCGCTTTGTGCTCCAGATCTAGCATTCTAAAGCTATTCAGCAACATCCCTCCTATGTTTGCTTGACCAACCTAATGACCAACCCGTAGTCAGATTATCCTATATAAATCACTTAGAAACAATGGGAAAAAGGCAGGCATGGGAAACATTCAGAAAAGAGTTAGGAAAAAAATGGCAGATTATGCTGGAATCCCTGCTTACTTGTAATCCTTCTCTTGATATTTTTCTTTGGACTTCATTTTCTTCTTGACCTTCTTTTTTCTTTCTTTGGTCATCTATCTTGCGGCGTTTCTTTCCCACTTCAGCTTCGCTTCCTTCTGCATCGCCGTATTTCCTCTTGCCAAGCCTCAGTTTCTCATTTTCCCAGAAAGAGTTGTCAAATCGTGCATGAGCTGAGGCAGGTGGAGGTGCGTGCCCTTCCCGAGAGTGTTTTTCAGACTGCTGAGGTACTGAACAGTGACGGAAGTTCTCTCTGTGGCTACTCAAGTGATGGGCTCCTTCCTCTCTGGAGTGAGTGTTGTGAGCCCATCTGCTCTTGCAGTGATAATCCCTACGTGATTTGTAGAATTGACTCAATTTGTCAAAGGCTTTATCAAAATGAGAGGACTTCCTCTCTCTACCATCACCTGTTCCATGAACAGAGTAATAATCCTTGTAATATCTGCATTTTTCCCATCTCCGTAATTCATCTTGGTAGTATCTTTCCCTGTTCCAAGTCCTCTCTCCTTTGGAATGGTAATACTTATTCCTGTCTTGTTCCGTTCTTTCTCTGCTTCGGGATTTATAACGAGAGTATTTTCCTGAGCTTTTGCCATTATTTGGACTGTTTCTTTCATGATGGGAAGGTCTGTACTTGCCTTCATTGCAATAATCCTGCTTATGATGATATTGCTTATTTGTTTCCATGCTGCAAGAGCGCCTCCTTTTGTAGGAACGATCATCCGCTTTGCTCCTGCTTTGCTTCCGGTCTTTACTGTCAGAGTATTGTCTCTTCTTTCGGTAGTGCTCTTTGTCAGTTTTTTTGGAGTCCTGTACCTTCTCCTCGTATTTTTGCCTATTATCCTCTTTGCATTTTTTATTATTCAGCCCCTCATTTTGTCTGGGGAATTGACTCTCCAGAACTTTATCCAGCTTTGGAATAGAAGAGTCATTAACAGGTGGTACCTCTACATAGTTATTAGAAATGTCCTTTGTATCTTGGCATTTATCTGTAACACCTAGACATACAATTTTTTTAGGACTACATTCAATGTCAGACTTCACAGAGGAAGCTTGCCATAATTTCTCTTCACTCTCGGGAGACCCTTTCATATACGAAGGATCTCCTTTTGCAAAGAGTACAGGTTCTTTTGGTCTTCCTGGTTTGTCTTTGTCTCTACTTTCTTCAGACTCACAATGCCCAAGGTATTCATCTTCAGTATCCAAGGATATTTTCCTGACCTTGTGCTGACCGCTGATACTGGGATGTACGTTATCAGCATTTGTTATCACACTTTCAGCAACGTCTTCGGTAGCAATGGTTTCAGTGGTTTCAGAGTCTGATACAGTAAAAGGACTCTCAACCTCACAGCCAAGGTCGGAAAGAGGCATCCTGGATTGTTCATAGACAAACACTGTTTCCGTCACTACGGTTTCCATAAGACGATCACCCTCAGACTTCTGAGGTGCAGGGACACTGCACAAAACAAAAACACATTTTTCACTTGAAAAAGTTCCCCTAAAAGATAAATGTTAGGAGCAAAAATCCCTTGAAGTAAAAGATTTGGTGGCTACTGGTAAACTCTGTATGTTTCTAAACTCCCTTACACAGTTTGGAAACTGTAGCTTTCTAAAGGGACTCTGTAAGGCAGTCCCTTTAGAAACCGACTCTTACACATTCAGCAGTGCCCAGAGAAGATGTTTTTCTTCTCTTGAGCTTGCAAGTAGTACATTAAAACCCACACCCAACACATTTGTCTCCCTCTGCTCACTGCTCTGCATCGCATCAGTAGCCAAAACCACTACCTTTGCTCTCCCCAAACTAGAAAAAAGTCAACTCATTCATTTCCCTTCTCTCCACAAAATGGGAGGGCACGAGGTGGGAATTTACATTGGAAAAGAAATCCAATTGTAAAAAAAAGTAAAATTATCCTATGAAGAAACAGAACCATTCTGGGAGGCATCTGCTTTCATTAATATCAGAATAACACATGTTCAGTGCTGATGTCTGCAACCCTACACATACAGTGTGGAATTTGCTGTACTGTGTAAAGCTTTCTATTAAATAGTACTAGTAGATGGGTAAAACAATGATAAACTTGTATGAAATCTTGTTTTCATCAGAGTGTACTCAATTTACCTTGTTTTCTCTGCCAACCTGTTCAGGTGGCTGTAGGCCAGGGATTCTAAGACTATTTCTTGAGGAATCGGTGACTCAGCTACAGGTATCTACAATTAAAACGCAGACGTTAACAGACAAAAAAATACCACCTTCAGAAGAAAACTGTTTTCAAAATTTCCTCATTAGTTATTAAACAAGATCACTTTGCCTTACATGCACCATTGCTATTTCACACATCACCCCTTCCCCCCCAGTATATTTATGAAACTTATGAAGTACTATCTCAGGTGAAATTCTGGCTGTTGCATGATGGTTGTGAAGAAAGCTGCAGTGTGGGAGGGAAAACAATTCATCAGATGCTCTAAAACAACAAGCTACACACCCCCCACCCCCCCCCCCCCCCCCATCAAAAGAAAACAACATTATCAATTTGGTGCTATTATTTGCTCCCTGCAAATTACCTTAATCATACGAGGAGGAAGCCGTGCTCCCATAAATCCAGCCTGCTTACTATTAGGCCCCCGCTGACCAAGGAATGAATGGGGATAAGAAGTTGCTGGTAAGTAAAAACCACGTTCTCCAACTGTCAAATCGTAGCGCCTTGAGAAAAAAGCAGTGATATCACTTTAGAGTTTTTCTTTCAATCTATTCTTGGATTAAAACCCCATCTGTAATTTTATAAGAACAGATGACGTGACACAGAAGCCACATACAAAAGACTCAACCAAGACTACAAACTAAAAAAACAGACAATGGTCTCCCTACAATGACTATTCTTGTCAGAGCAACATCTCACCCTTATGCCATCTACGGTGTTATTTCTCCTCTTCTAAATTACCCTGCTACGTAGAGCGGATACAGAGCAATGTACACAAGCACACCAGTTTAAGGCCAAGCAATGAAAGACAGTAAACGACAGCGGTAAGTTCAGGTTAGACAGAACTGAATTACAGAAACAGTAAACTTTTCCTAGGACAGAAAGAAAAACACTTGGAAAAAAAGAAAAGTATCAGTAACAGGAAAGTAAATATATTCTGAACAGATTCAGTAGTCGGTATTACCTGATATAAAAAAGTAAATAAGCTTGCTGATTGAGAACCGTTTTGATATCGGAACGCTCCACTATGGCATCATTCATTCGATACCAAAACCCATTGCCGGCCTGCAAACAAAAGACAGTGGCGTCTTCAGACAAAATGCATGATGTCCAAATGACATCACAGGCGGAACACTACAGCACGAAACGTACCAAACAAATCAAACGGAACACATCATTCAACCTTTCTCCATCAAAATGGTGGTTGCCGGTAACATTGATTTTCTTTGTTTATTTTACCCTGTTAGAAATCAAGCTGATACCCACCTTTATGAAGCAGATATAGTGTCCTGCATTGCAGCTGAAACCAGAATGAACAAGAACTGCGTATAAAGAATACATGAGTGGTTCTCCCCTTGACTGGGACATATATGCTCGAAGATCCAAATATTCAGGGTATTCCACATCCTAAACACAAACCAGGAAGATTCAAAAATTACCCTGAAACACTTCATGGAACAGCCTGACAAAAACCCTTCTCAAAACACAGGCTAGGATCACACAAATATAGTCTTGATTCATTTAAAAATACCTATTCTCAGAAACAATATTTCATAATTGAAGCTGCAGAGAACTGTTTTCTGCAGAATTAACTCTAAGAGTGAGGTATACTCTTATGGTTACCGTAAGCCATAGTTGTTAGATTGACTTTTCTTAGACTATTGTTATTACACTTACAGCCTGCAAACATTAACAACTTTTAAACCGTAGAATCATAGAATAGTTAGGGTTGGAAAGGACCTTAAGATCATCTAGTTCCAACCCCCCTGCCGTGGGCAGAGACACCTCCCACTAAACCATGCCACCCAAGGCTCTGCCCAACCTGACCCTGAACACCGTCAGGGATGGAGCATTCACAACTTCCCTGCGCAACCCATTCCAATGCCTCACCAGCCTAACAGTAAAGAATTTCTTCCTTATATCCAATCTAAACTTCCCCCGTTTAAAATGATATTTTCTTGGGGAAATCACCCATTCCAAGAAGATAAAGCTGCTTTACAGCTGCAAATATACCTTGTTGATCTTGCCACCAGTAAAATCTGCAAATCTTTTCAGTGATACGATGAGAACTTTGGAGGAGCGATGTATCGTGCACCTCTTGGAGGCAGGAACCATGTTTTCGCACCTTAAAAACAAGCACAGACAAATGTTTAACAGCAAATTCTTCCCCCTCCCAAAACTCAAACAAGTTTTCATCTCTCGCACAGGCTTATGAACCCATATGCTGCGCTTCACGTTTGTTAATAGACAGAAGGTAACAGCATGTAAGCGGACAGCTCTACAAAACAAAGGACTTAGAACATTATCCTTTCACACGGAACACTAGGACCTTCAGCCAGCTGATGTTGCCTCCCACCCCAAATCGTTGTCCTTAGCTCCGTGCTTCAGCTCACCCCTACTTAGCAGACATCCCCTTTAACTTCTGGCCAGAAGAATATTTCTGTGTGCAACCTCACACTGACGAAGGCTAATAAACCCCAGCGTAGGCAGCAGTAGGAATAAAAGTCTAATATGAGCTAATGGCCACAATTCTTCTATTTCCAAATATTCACGTGACACATTAAACGCCTTCTCTTGGACTCAGATGGAATTAGTAGGAATCTTACTTGCTACACTTATAGCTGTTTACTCCGTCCAGTTGTTCAGGTTTCACAAACTGTTCTAGAGCCGCAGTGAGAGACGTAACGGTCTGGATGAATAAGAAGGTAGAGCACTAAGTCACCGGAAATGCAGAATTTCAAACACTTCCTGGTAGTTAACGAGAGAACCTTGCTAGCTCATCCTCAAGTGACCTACTGTCAACCGGCAACCACCGTGAAGGAGGCAGAAACCTCAGAGTACGCTGAGCATTTACCTCCTGTGGAAATGATGCTACTTCGAAATAAAAGGATAAAGTTTGCAGTGCCACAGACACCATCTGTACTATGCTACGGCATCAATAATGAGAACAAGCAAACCCATCAGCCTAACGATAGATTTATAGATGCTGAAGCAGAATAACAGAGAAGTGTGAGGGTATAGGTGTTTGTGTAGATGTGATTACTGTTTTTACAGGTTAAACCCACTGCAAACATGGAGAGCATCTAGATGCCTTCCACACAAGACCAAAGCCCAATCCACTCCCACTCAACACCAAGCTCTTTCCTTTTAGCAGTGTATATTTTTAAGTAAAATGCCTTTATCTGGAAAGCTCTACAGGTCCTTATGCAGCTCGAGCCGTATTCACAAAACACCTTACCTCTATATCCAAAGTAATACTGAGGAATGGCTCGTGCCTGTCCGAAACGGCTTTGCAGTTCAAGCATTTTACTGGAATCAGAATACAAATGCTTAACACTGACTGGACAAATTTAGAGTCTTCATACATTTTACTTTAGTCAAAGCACAAAGTCCTTTACTACAGACAAACAGACACAGACCAGTTCAAAGGACAGGAAGAATTGTAACAAGTACCTTGGGATCTTAGGTATCCTCCAAATATTTGATAAATAAGTGTAGTGGCTTGAGAAGATGTGTCCCATCTGGAAAGAAATGATAAATCAGGCCTCAGATGATACAAGGCTCAGAGTTAACTCTTCAAACAGTTTTTACCAAGGACAGTCATTTTAATGTAGTATAGTAAAGAAAGGAGTAAAAGGGGCTAGAGAACATCTAAGGGTTAAATAATTCGTTTATGCGTACGTGGTGCTTCCATTCAAGCAAGCTCTCTGCAAAGCATCAACAGTGAAGGACAAGAATTCATGTGCATCCTCTTGACTGCCGTAACAGAAATGTTCTCCTATACCTAATAAATAAGAAGGTGGTTATATTTATCTCCTAGAAAATGAAAGAAAACTCACGTTTCTAAAAGTATCAAAATCATTTCTATGCATCAGAGAGTGCTTTGAAGTTACCCAATATATCAAAAGAAAACCATCTGAAATGACTTACTTTTAAGGCCATTGATAACAGATATAGGTTTGATAGCATTATTAGAGAAACACAGGGCCTGGTTAACGTGAGCTTCCAATGTACACATCATACAGAAGCCTTTTTCGTGACCTGAAGAGTGAAAGAAGCAACACAGTCTAGTCAAATAAGCATTGCTACCAAAAAAAGAACAAACCCAGAAAACAACAGCCACAAAAAACACTACTGATATTGATGACACAGCGCTAAGAGAGAATGCGTGCGATTTTCAGCATATTGCTGTTAGGTGAGCTACATGACACAGAGCTAAGAATCCTCTGGGAGAAAGGAAAGGTTAAAGGAAGGTATGTATAAGTATTTCTGCCCTCCTTTTTGCAACAGGGTTCTTAACTGGAAGCATTTTTATCTATGTCAAAAAAACCCACAGTTAAATTTCTAGGAATAAACACAAAGATGCCAAACCAAAAAGCATGCATGTACCTTTGTCAAAATAGACCTAAGAAGGATATGAAAAGAGGCTCCTATGCCAAATCAGTTCAAGCATAGAATGGAAAAGGGAAGAACACAAATTCAAAGGCTTAAAAAATACAAACTTTTAACTAGAATAAAACCAGTCTAAATTTTAATACTGCCCCACACAAATTTCCGTTTCAGGTCAGCAGAAATTATCTCGTAGTGCTTTCTAGGGTGTGGGCTTTTTTAATGGGTCAATAGTGAACATGTCATTTATTGCAGTACTAGCACATGACGCTATCTAGGCTGCAGAGACGAAGACGCTACGATGCCAACATCCTACATTTTACCACCTTTCTACCAGCAGGAAACACAAATGCCAAATGTTCGTCAAATGCCTTCCTTTACAACGTATTTCGCTATTCACACAAAGCAAGAAATGCTCTTTATTTGCAACTTTGCCATTGGGCATTAAATGAACAAATGCACTTTATATGCCATTCTGAGCTTCCTGTTAAATAAGCATGGAATCACAGAATCATTTACGTTGAAAAAGACCACGAAGATGGCAGTCAAAGCCAGCTTCGACAGGTAAAACGGGAAAGCCACGCATTTTCTCCACAGAATCACTCTTGTTCTTTCACCTTT